GTGTAGTCAGTAAGTTGTAAATAACTTAAGTCAAACTGAAACAACTTATCCATAATGAGTGTAGTCAGTAAGTTGTAAATAACTTAAGTCAAACTGAAACAACTTATCCATAATGAGTGTAGTCAGTAAGTTGTAAATAACTTAAGTCAAACTGAAACAACTTATCCATAATGAGTGTAGTCAGTAAGTTGTAAATAACTTAAGTCAAGCTGAAACAACATGTCCATAATGAGTGTAGTCAGTAAGTTGTAAATAACTTAAGTTAAGCTGAAACAACATATCCATAATGAGTGTAGTCAGTAAGTTGTAAATAACTTAAGTTAAGCTGAAACAACTTATCCATGATGAGTGTAGTCAGTAAGTTGTAAATAACTTAAGTCAAGCTGGAACAAGTTATCCATAATGAGTGTAGTCAATAAGTTGTAAATAACTTAAGTCAAGCTGGAACAACTCATCCATAATGAGTGTAGTCAGTAAGTTGTAAATAACTTAAGTGAAGCTGGAACAACTTATCCATAATGAGTGCAGTCAGTAAGTTGTAAATAACTTAAGTGAAGCTGGAACAAGTTATCCATAATTAGTGTAGTCAGTAAGTTGTAAATAACTTAAGTCAAGCTGAAACAACTTATCCATGATGAGTGTTAGCTTGACTTAAGTTATTTACAACTTACGGAACAAGTTATCCATAATTAGTGTAGTCAGTAAGTTGTAAATAACTTAAGTCAAGCTGGAACAAGTTATCCATAATTAGTGTAGTCAGTAAGTTGTAAATAACTTAAGTCAAACTGAAACAACTTATCCATGATGAGTGTTGTAAGTTGTAAATAACTTAAGTCAAACTGAAACAAGTTATCCATAATTAGTGTAGTCAGTAAGTTGTAAATAACTTAAGTTAAGCTGAAACAACTTATCCATGATGAGTGTAGTCAGTAAGTTGTAAATAACTTAAGTTAAGCTCTCAGAACTTGTGCATGATGAGTGTACCAACTAATTTTTATCATCCTGTGTATCCATACAGACACTGCTGCAAGTCTTTAAACAAGATCTGCGTACTCATTCAGATGATAGTTAAAATCTCTATGAATGATAAGCTGATCTTTATTAGCTTGTGCATTAAAAGATACAGCTGCAAGTCTTTATACACAATTGCTGCAAATATCCATACATGACCAACTAATTTTGATTATCATGTATATTCATAGAGATATTGCTGAAAATCTATAGTCCATACATGTTTAACTAATTTTGTTTATTTTATGTTTCATACAGACAGAGCTGCAAGTTTCTACATGAACAGCCAATCTTGATTAACTTGGGACAAAATATCAATTCTAAAATAATGTTGAAATAATTAGAAAAATAATTTTACTTAAACTTTGAAATTTGATATGCATAAGTTCACTTAATATCTGAAAGGTGTTCATTGGTTTGTACAGAGTTAAAAAATCTGATATGTAGGTGAGCACTTGATACCTGAAAAATGCTGACTAGTTTTCATAGGGTTAAAAGTAAGCATTAGGTACGATTAGTAATGTCATTTCACTGAAGATTAAAAGTGAAACCAGTGCTTAAGTGAAGTTACACATAATTTAAACATTTTAAAAATAAAGAAAATTGCAGATTTATTATTAAGACTTCCAAAATATAAAAGTATTTAAAAAATTGGTAAAAACAGTCAATTTTAAAGATCAAATCACATATGTAAAATATATTTCACACATTTATAGAGTCTAATGCATTTCAAACAAACTGTTCCACGTATTAGGACAATATAAATCTGATTTATACCACAGTTCATAAAATATTATCTTCAATCATACTGTTGGTGTGATGTGCTTTATAGTCACTATGAAAAAACCTATACATTGGAGAGGTGAAGTGAAGAAAAAATGTCACTATTCAGTTCATCACATTATACAGCATATATAAGAAATATACTTAGTATTTGAAAGTTGTTTAATCTTGAAGTCTAAGTTCAAGGGAGGTCAAGTTCAATCCACACTTTGATCAATGGATGAGGAGTGGAATTCTCCCAAACTAGTTTAAATCAATAACAAGCACTGATCAAAGTTTATACTGAACTGGACCTCCCTTGAACTTAGACTTCAAGATTAAACAATTTTCAGAATAATTAGTTTATTTATTGTTAACTATTATCTTAACAGATCAAATAGTCACATAAAAAGATGAAAGAATCAAAGTATTGAATTTTCCAACTTAAAAACACATGTCATTTAATTTGAAGTTTCTGCTGGCTGGTAGAGAAATACCTTGGGGTCAAAAGACTCTCCATTTCTTTTCAACAAACTTTCCACTCCATCTCTCATATCTGGATTAATTCGTCGGGCATCAAATGCCAAAATGTCTTCTTTCACACCTCGTTTTGAGAGAAAGCTGCAGTAAAAGAAAACATTTAATATTACATTTTTCCATTCGTGTCATGTTCAACATGCACCAGCTGATTGTGATGTAGTGTTGTCTCATGTTCAACATGCACTAGCTGATTGTGATGTAGTGTTGTCTCATGTTCAACATGCACTAGCTGATTGAGATGTAGTGTTGTCTCATGTTCAAAATGCAC